CCACCCTGTCCGCGATAGAGACCCAACAGCGCACTAACGCTCAGTCTAGCGATACTGCGGCGGTCCCTAACTTCCAGGGCTGTGCTCCCTCCCAGTGCACTTACTCTGACGTTTTCGCTGCTGTCACTGAGATAGTCCCTATGGCTGAGGCCATCGCGATGGCCTCAGCGCAGCCTTGTCAGGGTAGAGCCCCCCATTGCCCCAGAGGGGGGCGTAAGGGCAGGAAGCGTGCTGGGGGTTGTGGGGGTGGTGAAAGAGGTGATGCTGGTGGCAGTGCTGGGAGTGGAGCCGAGGGGGGAGCGGACGCCACCGAGCAGGAGCAGCAGCAGCAGCCGCAGAGACAGCAGCAACAATAGCAGCAGCAATAGTGCAGCAGTTGGGGGCCCCACCACCGTGGTGGCCGGGCGGCTTCGGTGGTGATGGGCGCGGAGGCGGCCCTCGCAGCTCGACGTTGGGTGGCGGCTCCAATTCTGTGAGTTGCCAGTACCTGCTTCAGACTGGTCCCCTTCGTGGCACCGTGTGTGAGCATCCCAGTCACACCGCTGCCCACTGCTACCGTCGCCTCGATGACCTCTTCCATCGCCACTTCGGGCCCATGCTAACCCTCCCGGACTGGCACAGCCTGGTATGTCGTCTTGTGCCAATCTTTGAGCTAGATATGGATCAGATCAGCTCTGCTATGTGTGCCATGTATCCTGCTGACTCTTGTATGATTGGACCATATACTATGTGTTACCTAGCCTAGATGTGTCTCATATGTGTAATCTAGGCTCCCCTGCTGCGTCATGCACATGACCTCCTACCTTGTTTAGCCTTGTCTCCATGCTAGTGCCCCCACCGGCTGACGCTACCACCACGCTCTCCTTCATGCTGGACTCTTGTGCGTCCTCCTGCAACTTTTACGACCACACCACTCTCACGCCGCTTGCCGCCCCAGCAGCTGTCGCCCTTGCTGACCCCTCCTCCAGTTTGGTCGTTGCATGTAGCTCAACCACACTTCCCTGTTCAGTGGTTCCCTCAGGCTCCCTTAGAGGTCTGTATATCCCCTCGTTCTCTAGGAACCTAGTTGGTGTCGGCTCTCTTCAGGACCCCGGCGTCACCACTACGTTTCCTGGACATGAGCGGTACGTAGTCTGTACTGAGGCTGCCACCGGTGCCCCCCTCACCACGTTCCCCTGGGACCTAGTGTCTGGCCTGTTCACGCTAAACACCGCGTCCCTTCAGGTGGCTGCATCTACTCAGGACACTGTGGCTTGCTCGTGATGGTCACTCACTCACCCGTCGCTTCTCTGGTACCAACACCTAGGTCACCCCACACTCTCGCGTCTATGTCACATGTCCCAGTACGGTCTTGTCTTAGGTCTCCCTACGTCGCTCCCTGCCCTCCCTCCCGCCGTGCATGCCTTGTGTCGAGGGCCGGCTGCACCGTGCTCCTCACTCCTGGTTTCCCCCCACCAGTGCGCCACTACAGACCCTGCACCTAGGCGTCTGGGGCCCAACGCCCGTCCCTGAACCGCATTACGAGCGCTGCTTTCTAGTACTCGTAGACGACTACTCGTGCTACACCATGGTGTTTCCCCTGGAGCGGAAGTGCCGACGTGCCTGATGTTTTCATCCCGTGGCTTGTAGCTGCTCGAGTCCACCGTGCCCAGCCAGTGCTTCGTCTCCACTCTGACCGTGGCGGTGAGTTTGCCTCTGGTCGGCTTTGCCAGCTCTGTTGTGCTGAGGGCATCACCTAGTCATACACTCGGCCGAACTCCCCGCAGCAGAATGGGGTCGTTGAGTAACACATCGGCTTTGTCATGGTGGTGGCTCGTACCTCTATGATTCATGCTGGTGCACCCCATTTTTTGTGGTCGTTCGCAGTCCGCTACGCCGCTCACCAGCTTAACTTGTGGCCACGCTCTTCGCGCCCACATGTTTTGCCGACCCTTCTCTGGACCGGGTCCCTTGGTGACACGTCTGCATTCTACGTCTGGGGCTGCCTCACTCACGTCCGCGCCTCTAGCGCAGACAAGCTTACCGCCTGCACCGCCCCTTGTGTCTTCCTTGGTTTCCCCCTAAACGCTTGTGACTGGCACTTCTACCATCCGTCGTCTCACCGTTTCTTTCATTCGCGTGCTGTCACCTTTGACGAGTCCGTCTCCTTCTACACTCGCTTCCCCCACCGAGGTCTCCCTATTACCCCCCCCCCTGTTCCTTGTCTCCACTCCCCCGGTAGCTCCCGTTCCCCGTCCTAGCCTGTCTGGTGTGTCTCACGTTACTCCCCTTCCTTCGGTTGGCCCGGCGGAGGAGTCTGTTGACTGTGGGGGCCCTGAGGCTGAGGGTGGGCCACCTGTTTCTGCGGTACCTGCACCTTCGACCCCGGTGCCTCCTCTGCCACCGCAGCAGTGGCAGTCACAGCAGCAGTCACTGCTGTACAGTAGCAGCAGCAGCAGCAACAGCTGCCGCAGCAGCAGGGGTCCGTGGGCACTCGGGGTATTGGCGTTGGAGGGGCTGACTCTGAGGGGGTTTCTCGTTCTCGGGGTGCTCGTTCTGGGAGTACTAGTCCTGGGGGTGCTGGTATTGGGGGTGATGTGGTGGTGACTACCGGAGGTAGCCGTTGTGCGGCTGGAGGTCCTGGTGTGGGCGTGGAGCAGCAGCAGTAGTAGTTGCAGCAGCCAGTGCCCACGCCTTCCCCGCCACCACCTCCTCCTCCTGACTATGGCCCGGTGTTCCCCCCACCTGACTCATCGCCGGCTCGTTTCCCCCCTCGTTCTCCTCCTGTGTCTCCTCCTTTGTCTCCTGACCCTACTCCCCCCTCTCGTTGGTGGTCTCACCATCCCTCTCGTGCTAGTCCCGTCTCTCCCGCTCTGGGTGTCCACCCTATGTCTCTCCGTTCTCACGCGTCTTGTGCTCCTCCTGCTCCTGTTCTCTCATCTCCAACTCAGTCATCCCTTTCTGTCTCCTTTCCTCCTCTCTTTGACTTTCTCCGTGCTGCTCACCCTCTGGTTCCTCGTGTCCTAGCCTCTCTTGTTACCTACCTGTCATTTCCTGACTCCAGTCTCTCGGCTCTTGTACTGTAGCTGCCGTCACTGACTTTGCCTCTTTCCACCGCCTTGATTATGCCACTGCTCTGGTCTCTCACCCAACTCGTCCTTAGTCCGCCAGGGGTGCACCTACCCTTGACAGTGACATCCTAGAGGAAAGACAGTATGAGCTAGCTTTCCTTTCTAAGGTCGTTCCTCATCTTTGGTCCATGCTGCTAGCCCCTGAGGGTGACTCAGACGCCTTTGACATCTCGACCCCTCGCACTTACGCTGAGGCGACCTCGGGACCCTGGGCCTCTCACTGGATTGCTGCCATGGACGCAGAGATGGCATCTTGGAGATCCACCGGCACGTACGTCAACGCAGTTTCCCCACCTGGGGCGAACGTACTTGATGGCCGGTGGCTCTTCAAGGTGAAGCACCCTCCTGGAGAGCTGGCGGTATTCAAGGCACGCTACGTTACTAGAGGCTTCAGTCAGCACAAGAGGGTTGACTTCTTCCAGACCTTCGCCCCGACCCCGAAGATGACCACTCTTTGGGCATTGCTTCACGTAGCACCACAGCATGACTATGAGCTTCACTCGCTTGACTTCTCCAGGGCAGTCTGCATGAGCAGATCTACCTGCGCTGTCCATCATGCTTCTCAGACTCTCCCTCTTAGGACCAAGTGGTTCTTCTGGCACCTAGTCTATGGTCTGCGGCAGGTGCCCTGTGAGTTGCACGGCATGCTGCGTGCGACGCTTGCAGAGCTGCTGTTCTTTCCGTCCTCTGCTGACCCGTCCCTCTTCGTTCGCTCAGGCCAGACTCTATTCTACATCCTACTCTACGTAGACGACCTGGTCGTTGCTACTGCAGACAGAGACGCTCTGGCCTCAGTGAAGGCCGAGCTGCAGAGGAGACACACCTGAACTGGCCTACGAGAGCTGGCTACTACCTTGGGCTGCAGATCTCCAGGGACAGAGCAGCGCACACCATCACTCTCGCACAGTCACACTTGGTGCGCCGGGTCCTTCAGAGGTTCAGCCTTTAGTTTTCCTCTGCACAGCCCACCCCTCTGCCAGTGGAAAACATGCTCTCGGCTCCAGTCCCTTACGAGCTGGTCGAGCCTAGTGGTCAGTACGCAGAGCTTGTGGGCTGCCTCATGTACCTGAGGACTTGCACTCGTCCAGATCCTGCATACTCTTTTAGTATCCTCGCATGCTTTGTTGCGAAAGGCTGACACCGACCTCAGCACTGGTCGGCTACCAAGAGGGTGTTGCGATATCTAGCAAGCACATGAAGTATGGGGCAAGTGGTGGGAGGACGCAGGCCAGTGGTTCTCACAGGACACACAGATGCTTCGTGGGCGGATGACGCTGAGACACTCAGGTCCTCCCAGGGCTACTACTTTAGCCTTGGTGCAGGCGCTATCTCGTGGAGGTTCAACCGCTCGTCGTCTGTTGCACAGTCCAGCTGTGAGGCTGAGACCTACGCTGGTGCCATGGCAGCACAGGAGCTCTACTGGCTGAAATTCCTGCTCACTGACTTAGGTGAGCGGCCTAGCTCTGCTCCGGTACTGTACGCTAACAACAGGGCCATGATCTTCTTGTGTTAGGAGCCTCGACTAGAGGGCAGAGCGAAGCACATCCAGCTGTGGTACTTCTCCAGAGCGAGCTACAGCAGCACGGCCAGGCACGCGTAGTACACTTAGCCTCCGGGGCCAACACAACTGATATATTTACTAAGGCCCTCTCGCCTAAAGATCATCAACAGCACTGCTTACAGCTTGGTCAGGTTCCAGTACCTCCTTACTTGCTAGGACCCTAACTTGTGTAATACTCCTTATATTATCTTGATTGGCCGTGTGGCTCTTGTCTCAGTGGCTGGGCTAGTAGTGCCGCCCTGAGTTGCTCTTGTTTAATTTGTACTCTTGCCGACTGGTCTTCGTACCCCTGTCTGGGGTCAAAGAGTACAAATTAAACCCTTTCTTTGACCATGACCATGAATGGTACCTAAACCCTGGCAATTTCGAGGGTCTCGAAGCTGCCAGACCCTCCAACACTTTCACTACCATTCACCCATGCCATTCACCCATGCCATTCACCCATGCCACCCATGCTATTCACCCATGACGCTCACCCATGTCATTCACCCATGCCACTCACCCATGCCATTCACCCATGCCATTTACCCATGCCATTCACCCACGCCATTCACCCATGCCATTCACCCATGCCATTCACCCATGCCATTCATCCACGCCATTCACCCATATCCCTCACCCAAGCCACTCACCCAAGCCATTCACCCATGCCATTCACCCAAGCCATGCCATTCAACCCATGCCGCATTGAATCACACGAGCGCATGCAGAGCAGGAAGAGGGGAGTGGCATCATAATGGGCAGCAAGGCCCACTATCCAAGCGATTAAAGCTCGCGGTCTAGGTTTCCCAAGTGTTCAACAATAGAAACACAAAGTGGGGGCTGATTGGAGAGCGAGTATCGAAGTGTGAACACAACATCACCAAAGCAGACGAAAGCCCACACATTCGCCGGTATTTCCAAGGTAATTCAAATGTGTGGCATTACGAGCTTCGCTGAAATGACTCACGTCACAGAGCAGCTAGATCGGTTGAGCAAACCAAGGGAGGGACAGCACACTCGGGTATTGGCAGAGCACGCCATTGTACATGCCGTCATCACCACTAGATTTGTTAACCCATTCAGGGGGGCGTTGTTTTAAATGCAACCAGCCGGGTCACCTTAAAAATGAATGCTCAGTGGAGAAATAGAAACACGGTAACAAGCAGCAGGGGTCCAGCTGGCAGGGAAAGTTCAGAGGTCCGTTGCTAAAGGGCCTACTACTGACAGGACCTGCTTGTCCGACCACAAAGGCCTTCATCGGATAATCATCCCAATCCTAGCGATCGATCACACTCGGCTAAATAAGGACGAATCAGTTCCGAATTTCCCCATGATTTGAGAGCAGTAAAATTCAGGGGGTCATCGTAAAATTATTCGTGGATGGAGGGGCTTCACACGGTCTGATTAACCTCGCCACAAAAAAAAAGGGGGGGGTTACCTTACATTCGGTGTTTCCCTGAGGTGCATGCCCGCCTGGTTGACGGCACTGCGTTTGCTATCAAGGATATGGTAGAGAAGTTGCGGGTATGAAGTGGAGCTGCTTTTAGTTTTCATAACACCTGCTCAACCAGTCAGCAGTGGTGTCAAACTGCGGCGTGTCGCCCAAGAGCATTGATAACTCATCGTTTGCAAGGAGCAATCAACAGCCCATTCAGCACCAACCTTATCAGTCGTCGCCAGGCTCGTTCAGCTTCCTGTCGACTCGACAACCTGCAACAGGATCTGCAACAGACAGCACACTGAAATTCTGCAGCTACAAGCTGAGTTCGCACACATACTGAAGTTGCAGATGTCATTTCCATTCAACGACCATGACTTCTACAACTGGAATTTCGAGCTCATGATGGAAGGCATGCAGGTCTTGGGACTCTTCATGGGTACTTGCAAGTATCCTAAAAACGGAACTGCGAGAGAGAAGGAGCAATTATTATTAATCGCCGATTGCGTACACCATCCTTCTCTACAACCTGTCACCAACTGTGCAACATAGTTTAGGAAGTACGGAGGATACGTAGATTCATTAAAGCTAGCATGATGTCATCTCAAGAGCGTGTACCAGGCGTCGGATAGCATGTCACAGAGCCGACTCATGATGCAGTTGACAACGATTCAAATGCAAAATGGGGAAAATGCAATGGCCTATATGAACCGATGCAGAGGACTATGCGACAGACTTATACAAAGTGGAAGAAACTTATCGGATAAAGCTTTTGTAATGGTCTTCCTTCCTGGTCCTGGTCCTCAGTGACACACAACCTGCTCGCTTCTTTGAGCTCACAGGAAGGTCTCAGAAATGCACCTCTGCACCGAGGAAAGGGGTCGAGCTGCCACAGTGGGCAAAGCAGGCTGCAAGGGGAGTGACACAGGTGAACGCAATCGCAATGAAACAAGCGATATCCAATCGCGCAAAAGTATTCGCTGTCGTCATCCGCAAGTCATACGTGGCCTCGCCATCATTAGACCTCACGAAGTTGATGGATGCAATGTTTGCTGACCTGGCAAAGTTGATTTCCAAATTCCCAAATATTTTCCCAGACAATCTGCCCAAAGGGTTGCCGTCACAGCGATCGTTGAATCATAGGATAGAACTGGAGTCAGGATCTCAATCGACCATTCAACAACATTTCCACCTTAGACAGCTGGAGTTAGAGGAGCTAAGGAAACAATTTGGCTATCTGCTCGAGAAAGAAAGAAAGAAGAAGAAGAAGAAGAAGAAGAAGAAGAAGAAGAAGAAGAAGAAGAAGAAGAAGAAGAAGAAGAAGAAGAAGAAGAAGAAGAAGAAGAAGAAGAAGAAGAAGAAGAAGAAGAAGAAGAAGAAGAAGAAGAAGAAGAAGAAGAAGAAGAAGAAGAAGAAGAAGAAGAAGAAGAAGAAATAAATAAAAAAATCCAGCCCTAGCTCATCTCTATTCGCATCACCGATACTGTTTACACCAAAGAAAGATGGGGGTTACATGATGTGTATCGACTATATGCATTGAACTGAATCACCACCAAATCGAGTTACTCGATCCCTCGAGGTGACAAATTGATATACCAACTTCCCACAGCCCGCGTATTTTTCAAGGTCCAATTTGCGATGTGGTTACTATCAGATAAGGTTCATTCCAGAAGACAGTAACAAGACAGCCTTTTGAACCTGCTACGGTAGCTACGAGTATGTATTTATGCTTTTCAGCCTCACGAACGCCCCTGCCACTTTTCAGATGACCGTGAACAAGATTTTCCACCTGCTATTAGATAAATTTGTAATAGTATACTTAGACAACATTTCAATTTACAGTACTACAATGGAGCAGCATCTCAAGGACCTCGAAGTAGTTTTCACACTACTGCACGAGCATCGGTTGCTCACAAAGAGGTCTAAGTGTGAGTTTCTAGTGAACAGGCTTGAGTTTTTAGGGCATGTCATTTCTGCTATAAGGGTGTGGAAGTAGACCCGAAAAATGCAGTGCAGGCTTGACATCCGTCGATGAATTTTGGGGAGCTACAGAGTTTTCTCCGCTTCGTAAATCACAGTATGTGCGACTGTTTGTCCTGAATGTGGTGGGGGTAACAGCGCCGCTGGCTGAACTACTTTGAAGAGCATACAACGTTTTCTCCCACATCCCTTCACATAAGAGATCCTCACCGCCCATCCTCTTTGCTTACTCCCTCTGTTCTTCCTCCCTCTGTTCTTCCTCCCTCTGTTCTTACTTCCTCTGTTCTTCCTCCCTCTGTTCTTCCTCCCTCTTTTCTTCCTCCCTCTGTTCTTACTCCCTCAGTTCTTCCTCCCTCTGTTCTTACTCCCTCTGTTCTAACTCCCTCTGTAATTACTCCCCCTGTTCTCACTCCCTCTGTTCTTCCTCCCTCTGTTCTTCCTCCCTCTGTTCTTATTCCCTCTGTCCTTACTCCCTCTGTTCTTCCTCCCTCAGTTCTTCCTCCCTCTGTTCTTCCTCCCTCTGCTCTTTCTCCCTCTGTTCTTACTCCCTCTGTTCTAACTCCCTCTGTTATTACTCCCTCTGTTCTTCCTCCCTCTTTTCGTCCTCCCTCTGTTCTCACTCCCCCTGTTCTTACTCCCTCTGGTCTTACTCCCTCTTTGCTTACTCCCTCTGTTCTTCCTCCCTCTGTTCTTCCTCCCTCTGTTCTTCCTCCCTCTGTTCTTACTTCCTCTGTCCTTACTCCCTCTGTTCTTCCTCCCTCTGTTCTTCCTCCCTCCTCTACCGGATTACAGTTCATGAAAGGAGTTATTATTATTGTAGGAACATGACAACACAGTTTCATGGCATTTCATGGTAGAAAAAACATGGACGCGGCTGTTGCAGTATTACGACTGGCCCAATATGGCGAATGACATCCAGCGCCATGTGGCTTCCTGCCACACCTGCCAGACGATAAAATATTCTCTGTAGTCTCCTGCCGGCCAACTCTGGCCAGTTCCACCGCCCAAGCGTGCTTGGCATCAAGTGACAATGGATTTTGTTACAGGGTTACCTACAAAGTCAGGGGGTGACGACATGATCATGGTCATCATTGATGCTGTAGGCTGACGAAGATGGCGCATTTTGCCGCCCGCAAAAAATGTATAGTATCTCTACCGAAGAAAATGCATAGTTGTTCATCCGCACGATCGTTCGACTACACGGAGTACCGACGACACGAAATTCATCAGCAAATTCTGGCGCAACCTCTGGGACCAGTCCGGCACACACCTACAGTTCTCCTCCACCTACAATCCCGAGACGGACAGTCAAACTAAGCGGACCAATCAGACAATGGAACAACTGATTTGCGCCACTTGTGACAGCATCGCTGATTGGGCGATGCGGCTGCCATGATTTGAGTTTGCGTACAACAACGCCCCGTCAGCAACTACATGGCAGTCCCCGTTTTACATGAACTACAGACAAAACTATACAATACCCATCACGCCCAATTGCGACAACCCAGTCCCACGTGCGCAACAATTTGCTAAAGTTCTACAAGCTGCCCGAGAACGAGCCAACGAAGCATAACCCCAACCTCATCTCCAAACAAAATGCCGATCTCCACTGCCGTGCCATCACCTACAATTCCATAGATTTCGTAATCCTCGACACTTAGAACCTTCGCCTGCCCATTGTTTCAAAATTACGCCCTCGCTACCGTGGCTCATTTGTCATCAGTCACATGATTACGCCCATGACCTCCCACCTGCTGCTACTTGCCATTTGGTCCATCAGACCATCATTTCACGTGCGACTTCTGTAACCCTACATCGCCAGCACTGGTCGTCTGCCTCATCCCCCAGCCAACAAGCAAATCCGATCCCTCGCCGAACCCACTAACCTGCAAAAAATCCTCAGCCACCGGATTAAAGAGCCGCGAGCAGGGCCTCATATTCAAATTTAGACACCCTGTGACCTCAGGGCACACCCTTTAAAAGCGTGCAACTCTCATGGTTTGTGCTCTATAAACACCCTGTTTGCATAGGGCGTCCTGAGGACAAGCCCCTGAGTTGTCAAGGCATTTATTAAAGGGCAACAAGGGTTTCACAAATTTAGCGCGTCGCTTCAAAGGCCAACTTACGGTAAAGCAAGGCATTCATTACAGTAGAACATTCAGTTCGCATCAGAAAGTCCCTTCCCAACCCAACAATGGCTTGCATGCCTGAAATGGAAGGGGGATTTATGCTCGATGAGTTGGGAAAATCGAAGGCAGCCTGCAGCAACCCGCTATGAGCGGCCTTCCTTCCTCGCTAGGAATACAGCTGAACAAAGCCCATGCCTTGCAACTAGTGTGATGTGGGTTAATCTGCAGGGCTGATTGGCTGAGAGGGCATCGCGAAAGTGTGTAGTGGAGTGTATGGGAAATCATACAGTACAACAATGTCCTCTTGCTGCCAACGAAGCCTAGTAAAAGCACATGGCTTGTCTTTGCTGGCGAGATTCAAGGGCATCTTCATCAGGAATCCAGAGATTCGCCTAGTAGGGTCCCCTATTAGTATAGAGGGGATGTATCAAGGATGCCCTCAATAACACCTTGAGCCCTCAAGGCTTAGCGGATCACAACACTCTGAAATGGCAGGGGCCGAAAAAACGAACTACCCGAATTCACAGACTGAACTACAATGAGTATCCTGAAATCTCCGGGTTCACTAACAGACCACACCCTGAAAATCAGGCTTTCAGGGTGCTTTACTCTGATATCTGAGGGCCTGCCGCGAGGCGCTCACCTCTTCGAGTTTCTCGTCGCCAGGAAGGATCAAACTTCCCTGGAAAGCAATTGGGTGCCCTTGGCACATATCAAGAATTACCCGGTTTTACATGTGTATCTCCAATCCCGCAATCTGCATGATGTTGGCAGTCTTACGTACCTAAGACCACACCTCAGAGGCAAGAGAGTGTAAGGAAAACACATTTCTATATCACAGGTTTTATTTCGTAAAGCATACACCACTATAAAGGGTTCCCTGCACCTTTTTTCACGTCTATTCGAGATGCGTTTCCCAATGTGGCCTTCCCGAGCCGCATGCGCATTCGTGCGTTTCTCGCGTTTTGTGCTCGTCGAGTGCGCTTCGAGCCCATTTTTCCGCCACACGCCCAAGATCTGCCAAGCTTGCCCATTTGCTTCGTGCCTAGCAATGGGCTGGTTTTGATGTTAAGAATTGTGTAATCTTTCTCGCTAGTGGAATTCCCGATTCTCACTGTTTGCGCATCACAATACATACCCTGATATCTATTGTGTAGTCCTCTCTTTTCTGTTCTCTTTCCCCTTTTTAAAAAAATCCTTGGTACTTCCTCATCCCATCAAGCCAACACTGTCAATATATATTTGTATATGTTATAGGCTAGATACTGTAGGTACATGCTCATAAAGAGTACAACACCTTGGGACAAAACCACCCCGTATCACTCATTCTAGTTCATTGCATTATTCTGAGATGGTATCACGCTGGCCCCGCTAGTCCGCGTCGGCCCTGCTAGCCCGTGCCGGCCCCGCACCTTCGCGCCGGCCCTGCTAGTTCGCGCCGGCCCTGCTAGTTTGCGCCGGCCCTGCCATTTCACGCCAAGCCCCTCCCTCAGCCGACCCCGCTAGTCCACACTGGCCCCTCGTTCCAAGCGCCCGCCCTGGCCCCTGGCTCGCCGCTGGCCCCTAGCTTGCCCGCTGGCCCCTCGCTTGCTGCTGGCCCTTCGCTCGCTGCTGACCCTAGCTCGCTGGCCCTATCTCGCCAGCCCTAGCTTGCTGACACTCGCTCGTTGGCCCACGCTCGCTCGCTGCCCCCTACCTTGCTGGGCCCAGTTTCCGTCGGCCCGTGCTCGCACCGGCCCCCGTTCGAGCCGGCCCCAGTTCGTGTCGGCCCCTGTTCTTGCCGTGCCGCCATAACGCCGTGCCGCGGTGCCATCGTGCTGCCATGCTGCCGTGCTGCTATGCTGCTGTGCCGCCGTGATGATGTGCCGTCGTGCTGCCGTGCCGACGTACCACTGTGTCACCGTGTCGTCGTGCTGTTGTGTCGTCGTGCCGCCGTGTCGTCGTGTCACCATGCCGCCGTGTCGCCGTGTCACCGTGCCGTCGTGTCGCCGTGCCGCTGAGCCGCCGAGCCGTTGTACTGTTGTCTGATGCTGCAGCCGTGTTAATGGTGGATGATGTGCTCCGCCTGGATGCGGAGGGTCGGGCAATCGACTTTGAGGCGTGGCTCGTCGACCTCTGTCGTCAACTCAAAGGTCAGTGCCAGGACGGCTATTCACAGGCCGTCCATGCTGACGGTAAGCTCCCCTGTCCTGACGCGCCTGCTGCCCTCTCTGACGGCCCCACGTTTGCTGAGCGTGAGGCCTCTGCCGCTGCTAAGCTTGCGCGCACTGTCTGGGAGTCGCGTGATGTCGTAGTGCAGCTTGCTATCAGTCACGCCCTCCCACTATCCGAGCATCCCCGCTTTACGGCTGTAGCGAATTCGAAGGGGTTTTAGATGCGGTCGTTCCGCGCTATTCCACTCCCTCCTTTGCCTCTGCCAGCCGTCTGATCCTCCACGTGCTCTTCCCTGATCTTGCGTCCTTCCCCACTGTCGCTGATCTTGCCACTCATCTACGCGCCCTTTCGACTAGCTACCGCTCTGCTAGCATTGAGGCCCAGCTCGCTGCATTCCCTCCTCCCCTCTATGCTACCCTTTACCTCATTGCCACGCGCCTTTATGACTACCTCGCCACTGCTCGCGACCAATTCCCTAGTCAGCACCTAGGTGACCTCACCCATACTGCCTTTGTCACCACCCTGTCTGCAATAGCGACCCACCAGTGCACTATCACTCAGTCTTGCAGTACTGCACCGGTCCCTATCTTCCAGGGCTGTGCTCCCTCCCAGTGCACTTACTTAGCCGTTTCTGCTGCTGTCGCCAAGACAGCCCCTGCTGCTGAGACCGCCGCCACGGCGGCCTTAGTGCAGCCTCGTCAGGGTAAGGGTTGCCGCCCCAAGAGGGGGCGTGGCAGAGGGAGGGGTGGTGGGGGTGGTGG